AGCCCTCCAAGGGCTGAGATTACAAATACACGACTGGCTTTAATTCTCCCACATTTGAACATGGCCTAACCTTAATGACTTACTTGACCACTTGGCTGTAATGTTCGGAGGCTCATAAATTGAGATTATAGGAAGCCCTGTGTCCTCTCCCCAGGCCCCTTGGGGTACCTGCTCCAGGAGAAGTGCAGAAGTCTGAGGACCCTGAAGCTGCCATGTTGGCATGGAAGAGCCCAAGCCAGCCAGTGGAAAGGCCACAGAAAGAGATGAGTGCCTGACTGGCTGCCAATCGTCACCCAGCCCAGATACCAGAGACAGACGTGAAGACGTCAGACAACTCCAGCCCCGGCTACCCTCTACAAACCCCTGGTCCCCTCCAGCTAAGCCTGCCAATCCATGGAACTGTGAACGTGATCATACATTTTTGGATTTTGTTCTCATTTTTGCAGCAGTGGAGATTGAACTCCAGTCATGCTTTACCACTAAGCTACAGCCCCAGCTCTTCATTTTATTTTATTTTTTTTAATTTTGAGTCAGGGTGTATATTAAATTGTTCTGGCTGGTTTTGAACTTGTGGTCCTCCTGTCTCAATGTGCAAGTACCTGATATTATAGGTGTGTGCTACTGGGCCCACTAACACAATTGGTTTGAAGTCACTACATTTGGGGATAATTTATTATGTAACAACCACTAACCAGAATATCCTCTTACTTAACACAATTTAAAAAAATACATACAACAGGAAATGCAAGTTTGAGACCATTTTTACACTGTTGAAAATTAATCCCAGAGCTGTCATGCAGCACTTCCTGGGTTTATTCCCCAGTACAACAAGGCCCATTAGAAAACACTCCCTAAAAAATGCCCTAACAGTCCCTATCACACGACAAAGTTCACCTTTATTTTTAGTGTGACTGTGTAGCTTAGGAATTCAGGCATAGATCCCAGAACAAGACACGTCTGGGTCACTCTACAGTGTCTGTATGCTAATGTATAAATGACCATGAATGCAACTTGGAAGAAAGAGACCTTCTGCTTTTCTACCAAGTGGGCAAAGGCCTTTCCAAGGATTATCAAGACTAAAGCACATTCTTCATGATTACCATGATTGCATAGCTGAAATCATTTGAAGGTGTGATAATCGATGTTTGGATTTACTGTACAAAATTCTCTGGGAGGAAACTGGACTATTACCACAAAAGAATCACAACATTAATTCCATCACAGCAGCCTTTCATGGGAAGTCATCCATAAATATTTCAAAATTGTTAAGCCTGTATGTGGGAACCAATATTGCCCTGTGGATCCAACCACTGTATTAGTTCAGTTACACTTTTTATGAATCTTGAAAACATTATGCTAAACAAAATACCATAAGCCAAACACAAGAGAACAAATATTGTATGATCTCATTTTTATCTGGTTCCTAGAATGGTTAAATTCATAAAGAAGAAAGTTGGAATGGAGGTTTCAGGGGCTAGGGAAGCTACTTCTGAAAGAGTCCAGAGATTTGGTCAGTGGAGATGAAAGTTTCTGGAGGTGGTGGTCCAGTTGTGTGACAGGTCCCAGAGGTGTACTTATGCCACTGGAGTATGCTAATGGGGCAGGCTTTATGTTAGACATATTTTACCTTAATAAAAAAACTTTAAGAAAATAATGAAATTTTTTTTTAAAAAAAGAGTTTGGGTGTTTTATCAATCAGTTTCCTAGCAGGAAACAGATGGCACTCCCAAACTGGTGTAGCTCCAGTAGACTCTAAGTAACATACCGTTTACAAAGGTTTGGTCGGAGCCTAAGGAAACCAGGACGGAGCAGGGTTCAGTGCAGAAGAGCTGGGGGAGGCAGCAGGGCCAGCAACCTGAACCGGAACCCTGGGAAGGGAGCCGAGGACAAATCTCCTCCTCTTCCCTCCTACGCTGGCCTCACCGACCAAGCCAAAGTCATAGGGCCACCATGGCAGCCCACAGGGACGTGTGGCTGGAGCACACAGGGCAGACCCCAGTGGAAGGCCAATGCCACCATGCCCCATCTGAGCAGCACGCGCACAGCGATGATGTCTCAGCCTCCCTGACAGTACAGTTAAGTCCACCCTTGCCTCAGACCCTCACAGAGCAACAAAGAGCCCAAAACAAGGAAAACACATAGGAAAGTACAGGAAATAGGCATAGGCCACAGGCTCTTTGCACAAGACCTGAGACTTGCTCTGTGATCCGCTGATATAAGAAGCCCATGAGGCTTACTGTGAACTCCTGCCACAAGCACCACCTCCCCAGACCCAGACTCGGACCCTGCGCCCAAACTCCTTGAGGGCGGAACCCGGAGGACAAGAGACTGAGAACAGCAGTGGCCAGTGCTTTGCAACCCTGTCTAAAGCCAGACCTGCACATTCTGTGTTCTGGCCTTCTGCACTGATTTTTTTTTTCCCACCTGGCCCAAAGATGAGACCACAGAACCAGAAGAATGAAAATATCAGAACACACAGAAATGCACCCAGTGTGGTTCTGGTACTGCTGAGCTCTGGTTCTTGTCTTGTCCTTGGGTTTCCAGTAAGAGTGGTTTCAGTAGGGTGAAAGGCATTGTGAGAAATCCTCTTCACAGTTTAGTGATGACAGGGTTAATGCAGCCATGCCCCCTGCGAGATCTGGTGTCTGGGCTCATATCTGTGCTCATACTGGCCTGGCACTCACCGTCTCCTGCCTCTCCCAACTCAGCTGCCCTTCCTCCTGGACTTAAAAATCTCATTGCATTAACATCAATCCTCCAGGTTAGACTATGAAAGCCGGGTCATGGTCTCTAGAAGCTCACTGCTGCTAGGCACATATGTCACCTGGCAGGGGAAGAAGAGTCCTGATTAGGAGGTAGGGAAGGACAGCCATCTTCTGTAGTCCTCTTTCATTAGCACATTAGCATGAATGAGCTTATCAGATTAGCTAATTGTCACCTGGACACTTTGGACAGTGCAGAAATACTGGAGAGGCACATTTCCACCAAGAGCAGAGGGAAGAGCACACAGCAATGACAAGCCCAGAAAGGCCTGCAGCATCCTGGAAGGTCAGGGTTCAATTAAAAAGACAAACAGAGAATGCCCGTGACAGAGGATGTGCCACAGGCAGACAGTTCTGAGTAGGAAGGTGCTGAGAAGGAACTTCCTGTTTCCAGCTTTGCACTGGAGCACCTGATCCCGCCGGAGGGGTGCAGCCAGCATGGGCAGACACATTAACTCTGGCTTCCTGACACAGTTCTGTCAAGTGGGGCGGCATAAAACGGTAACCTGCAGCCCTCTCTTGCAAGTACCTAGAAAAGCTAAAAAACCTCGCACAAACAGGTTTAACGCACGCACGGAAGGGAGGGAAGGTGGGAGGTAGGAAGTGGGGAGGGGAGCGAAAGGGAAGGTGGGTGTGAGTGACATCCGAACTACACAAGCTCGAGTTTCAACACCCAAACACAAGCAGACGACTCTGGGCTACTGTCAAGCAAGGACTTGAAGCAAATATGCTGAAATAAAGCTAAGCTTTTGCCCTCCACGGAGAGAGAAAGGGACTGGGAGAAAAGGCCTACCCAGTAACACCGACAAGTGGTGTGGAGCAGGGGGAGGCAGCAGGCCAGCTGCTAATTCTGTAAATCTTCCTCAGCTCTAGGTGGGAAAATAATCTCCTATGGATTTCATACCGCATAGTCGGGGGAACTCATAAATGTAGAATGCAATACAAACTGTCATTTCAAGGGCTGGAGGTGTGGCTCCGTGATGGAGCATGTGCTGGTTCAGTGCCTGGCACTGTCTAAAAAAAAGTCCTGGGCCAATGGTAGCTCCACATTGCAGTGACCCTCAACAACCCAGGGGGCCACCCTAGTGCTACGAAAGCATTAGCTGTGGGAGGACATGCCTTAGGCAGGCCCTCTAGTTCATCACAGCTAGAGTGATCTACTCAGACAGGAAGTCAGATAGTGAGTGTACTCGGACAGAAAGACAGACAGAATGAGTCTATTCCCACAGAATTCAGGTAGAGTCTACCCTCAGAGGAGGGCAGTTAGGGTGAGTCTAGTTCTATAGAAAGGCAGGTAGAATGAGGCTGTCCCCACAGGAAGAGTGAGTCTACCCCACAGCAGGTCAGGTAGGAAGTCAGAGTAGACTCCTACAGGAAATCAAGTACGACTGACTACTCCCACAGAAAGTCAGGTAGTGAGTCTATTTCCACAGGAAATCAAGTAGAGTGAGTGTACCCCACAGCAGGTCCGACAGATGAGTACCCACACAGGAGGTCAGGTAGAGTAAAAGTCATGGTCACAGTCAAGCGTGCTGTAAATCATCCCAGATAAACAAATCCAGGAAAACATGATTTTTTAAAAATTCAGAGTTTTTGACTCCTAGAAGTAACAGTGACGTAAGTATATTTTAAATCACATAAATTTTTATAGTCATAAAACAGCACAATTTTTAAAAATAAATAAAAGTATGGGGTCTGTGGACTTGCCTAAATGCACTAAGCTCTGGGTTCAATCCTTAGCACAAAAAAAAAGCCTAACAAGAACTGAGAAAAAAGGGAGCATATACCAAGAATGAAATTTTATGTATTAACAAAATTAATGAATTTAGATCCAGATAAAGAGGCAGTTAGCTAGAAGGTGAAACTCAGGGAACTCTCCAAACAAAGCATGGATAAGTGAATGTGGGGCATTCTCACTATCTTTTCAAACTTTCAACTTTTCTTTCTCCTGGTGTACTCTTATGCATGGTACTAGGAAGCCCAAAGTGGAAAGACTGGGTGTTTGAGGTAAGCCTGAGCAGTTTAAAGTCTCAACTCAAACTAGGGGTGATGACACACACCCTTTATCCTAGCACTCAGTAGGCTGGGGTAGGAGGATTGCCACAAATGTGGAGTACCCATGAGTTCGAGGCCAGCCTGTTCTACAGAGTGAGACCCTCTGAGTTAGGTACTTTTCTCGTTGCTGAGACAAGATACCTGATGCCCAAAGTTAAGGGAGGAAAGGTTTACTTGGCTCACCGTTTGTAGAGGTTTCAGTACATAGTCATCTGACTCCAAGCCAGGGTGGTATGGCCGACAGGCACTGCAGAAGAGAAAGGATTCATGGCACCAAAAGTCAACAAGGCAAGCAAAAGGGCAAAGCAAGCCTTTTTGTATCCAGGCTACTAAGATTAGGGTGGTACCAATCCAATCGCTGGACTGATTTAGTAATCACCTACCCTTAGTCCTAGTACCCTTACTATGAGCATTGCACTACAAATCAATCACACACTCTAGATCCAGCCACCTCTGCAAAAGCTCTACCTACAACTGCATATGATTTTGGGGGAACATCTAAACACAGGCCATAACACCCTGTCTCAGAAAAAAATTCCCAACTCAAAAACTAAAAATAAGGAAGATAAAGAAATTAATTTAAAATTTACATACACACATATTTTTTTTTCAGTGTTCACAGTTGAACTCAGGGTCTTACATATACTAGGCAAGTGCTCTCCTACTGAGCTACATATCCATTCCTCAACATCTCTTTGTCTTATTTTTGTTTTTGGATGTTTTGAGACAGGGAAGTATGTAGTTCAAAAAGAAAGAACTAAAAAAACAAAACAAAACAAACCGTTGAGCTCACTCTGTAGCCTGGGATACATGACAACCCTCCCGCCTCTGATTCCCAAGTGGTAGACTGACAGGTATGTGCCACCACACCAGCAACATTTCTTAATGTCTGATATTTTCTGTCTTTTTTATCAGTAGGAGTTCTGAAGGACAGACAGTATGAAGGAGGTGTTCCATTTGAATAGTGACTGAAACTCTTCCAAAGTATGAAAAGACATGTATCCTCAAATTTGAGGATAGCAGTAAGCTAGGTATGGGGACACATGCCTGGAATCCCAGCCCAACGTCAAGCTCAGTCTTGGCAATTTAGCAAGACATTGCCTCAAAAGGGCTGGGGAAGTAGCTCAATGCGAAGCCCCCTGGGATGCCCCGTACGCAAGAAGGAGAAGGGGGAAGGAGGATGAGGGAAAAAGAAAGAACATATTATCGTTATGGCCCTCTAACTGTGTGTAGTAACACCGGACCTTCTCCCACCCGACTTAGCACCCGCTGACCAGCTCTTTAGCTCCTCCTCCATTTCCCCAGTCCATTCTCTCCCTAATCTCTGCTAACCCCCACCCTCTTCTCATGCTCTTCACAATGGTAAAGGTAACTGTGGCCATCAGTCTTTAAGTTGGCCCCCAGAAAGCCTCACTTCCTTGGATTCATGCTTTGGTGCAGTTTTGGTACATGCGTTGGTGCCTTTTGTGACTAATATAGTATAAGGCATGATATGTGGATCCCAAGACTAGATCTTTTTTGTGTTTTGCTTATTGAATACAAGGTCTTACTTCACAGCCTAGGCTGATCTTGGACTTGAGATCCAACAGCCCCATCCTCTAGTATGCTTGTATTATAGGCATACATTAGTATACCTAGCTTCCTAGATATGAGAACACATTTCAGCTCTGCCTTTCTCTTTGGATCACTCTTTTGGAGAAAAGCCCATGCCATGATGTGAGGATACTCAAAGCAGCTCCTTAGATAAATGCTTTGGACATGGAAAGGAGGCCTCCACCGAAGTCAACATGAACATGCTAGCATGTGACAAGCCACGCCATCAAGCTAACCCCCTCCAAAGACAGTTGTGACAGTTTAATGTGGACTGGACACTTATGAGAGACCCAAGCTGGAGCCAGTCCAGCTACTTCTAGAGGCTTTAGCTACCAAAGCTGGGTGAGATAATGTTGGATGTTGTCCTTACCTGACTAGTTTTATAGTAGTTTATTACATAGCAACAGATAACTACTAAATAATAAGTAACTGTGAAGAGAATAAAATCAGGTTATATAATTTCCAAGCCATTAAACAAAAACAAGTAAACATTTAAAAAAATCATTCAATCATAATAGAAGACTGAAAAGCAGAGGAGGAATGTAAAAATCATCATGAAAATAATATATCAGGATAATGTATACAAGCCAAACTTGAAAGAGTATTCCCAAATTAGATATGAATTCAGCTATGTAAGTATGAGCACAAAATCCAGTGAATTTTTAAATTTTTAAGATTATTACAGTAAAAGACCCTTTGCCACTGGTTTCCCCCAAAGTATTTGAGTATTTTGAGTTACTTTTCCTTGCTTCCAGCACCAGCATTCTAGGAAATCTGTCTTTTGCTATAGTATGTTTTAAAAAAATGTAAACATTTTCTATATATTTTTCTTCCTCCTATATGTTATTCTTATTGGTTATTGTTCAAACGCAAACATAAAAGCAAAAGATAAGGAAAGATGTCAAGGAAATAATAATGCAGAGAACACTGGCACACCTATATTCATATAAAATACAATAAACCTTTAAAAAAAAACACTACCAGGCCTAAAGGAGTCACTAATTGGTGAGAAGAAGAAAAAGTACTAGGAAGATGTAGCAATCATAAATTAGTTCCAATAATGTAGCCTTCAAATAAAGCAAAAACTAATGGAATAGCAAGAATCTGTAATAAATTTACAATCATAGAGAGAAATTACACTAGCTTTTCCTTAACTAATAAGCCTTGATTAATAAAGCTTCATTAACAAGCAAACTAAACCATTAGAAAGATCATTTATCATCTGAACGGTACAATAAATGAACCTGATTTAATGAACATATAGAGAATTGTGTATTATTTATTTACTTAGAGTATTTTTGAGACAGACTTTTATAAAAGATGTTTCCATTTCAAGTCTGCAGAGTGCATTTATGCAAATGGACCAAAACAAGTAACAGAAAATCAGTATTTCACAGACTGCTTTCTCAGCCTGTAATGTAATAACATTGGAAAAACACAATTTATAAATTCTCTGAATTTTTAAACTTAAAGGCACACTTCAGTCACTGGTGAGTTAAAGAAGAAATCATACTAAAATTGGAATATGTTTGGAAGTGAACTGTAAGTTTTTTAGAATGCACAATGCTAGTTTAATAAAGATAAGGGCAGAATCTAAGAAATTTGGAATAAAAAAAAAACAAGTCAGGAAGACTAAAAGTCTGAAGTCTGAAATAAAAACTGATGGTTCTGTCTATGGGAAGCACTGCCAGGCTCAGCATGGCACCTGCCCAACAGGTGCTGGACAGTGCCTCCCTTCCACACTGACTTCCACATTCTTCCAAACCTGAAAATTGAACTCCCCACTTTCCCAGGCATGCCAGTGTTCCCCCAAGCAGCTGTCCGAACGTCACTCTGCCCGCCCCTTCAAACTCCACCCTCTGTCAAACTGAGTGAAAATGTGTGTCTTCTTTGTCTGCCCCAGGGGATCTTGCACCCTACTGCAGCCCTCCTATGCCCACAATAAAGGCTCCCCCCCTTCTTTTCTCTTGCTTTTCTACTGCGCTGAGGAAAAACCTATCAAAAGCTGTTGTATTTAATGTTCCAATCATTTCTAAGAAAAACTAGAAGTCATAATAACCTAATAGAGAGAGTAACATGAATACAGATAAATTATAGATTCTGTGACTCTAGAGACTATACCCTGCATAGCTTCACACCAACAAATGGGGACACATAGATAAAATGGAAATTTGCCTTTGAAATGGCTGGGCATGGTGGTGCATGCCTGTAATCCCAGCACTTTGGAGGCTGAGGTAGGAGGATCACTGTGAGTTTGAGGCCAGCTTGGACTACATAGTGAATTCAAGGCCAGCAAATCTAAGAGACCTTGTCTAAAAATAAAAACTTTATTAAGGCTGATTCAAGAAGAAAAAAAATTAAAGACCCTAGCATTTCTTTAAAATCAGATCAATTATTTTTAAAAAATCTATTCTCAAAACAAAAATATCAAGCCCAAACTCTTACAAAATCCTATGGAGTCTTCAAATATAGCCTCTCACTGGCTGGGATGTGGCTAGTGCTGAATGCTTGCCTAGATCAAAGGAGGCTCTGGGTTCCAACTCTAGGGGTGCCAGACAAAACCAAAAATCACCTGCACACACACACCCACGTGTGCACACATATACATACAGAGCTGTCTTAAACAAAGTGTTCCAAGAGAGAGAGAAGTGCCCCAGCTTTTGTTGTTGCCAGTGCTAGTGTTCGAACCAGTGCCAGTGTTTGAACACATGCTAAGCAATCTTGTTCTTCGTTACTGGGGACTGGACTCAGGCACCACTGAGCCCCAGCCCCAGCCCCAGCCCCAGCCCCCTTTATTTCACTTTGTTTTGAGACAGGGTCTCCCGAAAGCGCTCGCTAGCCTCCAGGTGCCAGTCCTCTGCTTCCGTCTGCCCCATAAACAGGATTACAAATGTGTCCCACCAAGCCCAGCTCAAATTTAACTTTTGAGGCTAATATCCCTTTTACTCTCTACCCTCACCCTCACCAAACACTGGTGATTGAAGGCAGGGCACAGCATATGCCAGTCAACCACACAGCTACCCCCATGCCTTCTTGAATGCTTTTCAGATTTTGATAGACACTCCCTAAATTGTCCAAGCTGGTCTTGAACGTGTGATCCTGGGTGTCTCAGCCCCTTCAGCACAGGCAAGTGGCAGCACGCCGGGCTCTTTCTTCACTTTAGATAGCAAAAAGAGTCAGGGTGGCATCCACCTGGAATCCCAGCACTCTGTGGGGCTGAGGCAGGTGAGACACAAGCTGAAAGCCAGTCAGCAAGATATGAGACCCCGACTCAAGATAGAAGATACAAAGGGTGGGGAGATGGCTCCATGGGAAGGCCCTGAGTTTGATCTTCTGCACAAAAAAAACAAAACAAAACAACAACAACAACAACAAAAAAAAAAACCCAGCAACAACAAAAAGATAATATAACAAGAAAAGTATAAAGGAGAAAATCATATGATTATCTCAATAGATGTATAAAATATTTGACAAAATTTAGTCCTCTATCATTTGAAAGAAAAACGAAATAAAACCAAAAATTCTTAACGAATTAGGAAGATTAGCTAAACTTGACCTCAAGAACCTGTGAGAAGCCTCACATTGGAGGTAAAACGCTATACACACTTCCTTTAAAATCAGGAATAAAGCAAGGATTAGAACCACCATTGTTCC